TAAAAAGCAAGAGATCCTGTCTCTTCCAAAGGCATGAAGATGTTAGAACTGGACACACTCAACTGACAGTCAGCTGAGTGTGTGTGTGTCCAACTCTTCCACTCATCACAGTTTAGTTACATGACCAGACAGTCAGTGCAGTGTGTTGTGTCCAACCAACATCTTTCCTCACAAGGTTAGTTCTAAGGATGACAACAGTCAGTGATGTGTTCCTGTGCATCCAACGTCCTTCTACAGTGGGTTACGGCTTAATACAGACAGATGTGCACGTGAGTGTGTCTTGTGCCAACCTCTTCCTCCCACCGGTTAGTTAATCGACAGACAGTCGTGGAGGTGTGTCTGTTTCCAACCTTCCATCACAGTCTAGTTAATGAATGTTTACCTGAGATCAATGTAGCCCAGATTGTGTCTAGATTGAAGAGAACCAGAGTCTCCACTGATGTGGAAATAAAGCCTGTGCTTACTGTGAGTAGGTTTGTTAAACTTAACTAGAATAATTTGCCGTTTCCTGAAGAAAAATGCGAGCTGATTGCTGGACTCTGCAGTTCCAACTGGCCTCACCGCTGCGCCCCAGCACGCAGTTTTTCTGTCCCCAACCAGAGAAGCAGTTGTGATTATTTCTGAGATACACCCTAGAGACTAGGCGAACATACTGCTGTTCAAGAGTGTTCTCGAGGGGTCTGGCTGCAAGAAAACACAAAAACAACCATCACTAAAGACATACGCAGAAGATGAAAGTTAGATCTGTATGATAGCATAGATGTACGGTCGTTACAGATTATATAATTCCTTCACTCTTTGGCCAAGTAAAGAAAATTATAAATCAGTCCTCTGAACATTTACTAGAACTTTTTGAGCCTGAGAGAAGTCAATTAACCGAGCTGGTTATCACCAACTAACAATTGTTTCATTATCGATTAATTTAGTTGTTTGGTCCATAAAGTGGTGAAAAAGCAAATTAAACAGTGGACAGCTAATCCATTAAACCTGCGATGTCTGGTTGTAAAGTGTATTTATTTACCTGTGTGTGTGTATCTGCAGACATGGAGGAGGAGCAGCGGCGGCAGGTGGAGGAGCAGGTGGAGGCGCTGCTGAACGGTCAGGGGTCAGAGGTCATTGGGTGTGACGTGGGCCTGGACCAGAGTAAACCAGCAACTCTGAAGAAGAACGTCACCTACATCGTCTGCGCAGTCATCTTCAACGATAAGGTCACCTGACAACCTGTTTCTGAGAGCTTAACAAGAGTGTAATGTAGTGTGTGTGTGTGTGTGCGTGTGTGTGTGTGTGTGTGTGGACTGTACTGCTATCTTTGTGAGGACCAATTTCTGTTTTAAACAATCGCTGTGAGGACATTTCTGCACTGTGAGGACAGTCCTCAATACTTCTAAGGACAGTTTAAAGGTTACCTACTTGGTTTTAAGGTTAGACTTAAGTTTAGGTTAGAGTAGAGGGGGTTAAGGTTGGGGACTAGGGACGAGGTAATGCATTATGTCATCCAGGGTCCTCACAAGTGTAGAAAGACAAAGTCTGTGTGTGTGTGTGTGTGTGGGACTGACTGAGTTTGAGCAGGAGTTTCTTGCCGAGTGTGTCCTCTGAGCCGCTCAGCGATAGGCTGCTGATGAAAGGAGACGTGTCCGTTTCTATGGGAACAGAGGCCATGTCTGAGTAAGAGAGCGAGAAAGAGAGAGAGACACAGTAATGACCCTGTCACTGATGAACAGCTTTGTTCTCTGTTGGAGGAAAGATTAAAATCCTGTGACTCCCAGCTAAGTTTGTGTACAAGGTGAAACTGACAAAGTCTCACCAACCAACTTTTAGGACCTTGCTGCAGGACATAGTGGGATGTGAAAATTAAAAAGTGCTTTATACACGTCCTGTACACAGAAAGACGTAAACATGTTGCCATTGATGCGGTGGCGTCTGCCTACAGTAAGCAGAAGTTTAAATGCAAGCTGTCCTAAGAAGTGTACAATTTTCTACTTTTCCCTTTGTTTTCTATGTAACGTTACTTTTACAACAATGTCGAGGAAATCAGGAAGAAGCTGGGCAGTTATAAGCTGCTCCAACAGTAGTGGCAAACTTCAACTTTGGGGAAAAAAACTGAAAACTGAAACACACAAGTCTTTACTGACTGTCACTTTCCATAGATTCCTTGTGTGTGCAGAGGACCAAGATCTTCACATGTCAAGCGATTAATTAATTAATCCTAAATATGTATGAAAAAACATGAATTCGTATTTAAGTTTTTACTGATATAACTGGTGATTTAATGCAAATCTTGATTGATTATGCTAGCTCAGCGGTATTACACAGTACATCACTTGAAATGTGGTCGCTCCGTTTTTTCTCTATTTCTGGCTATTGTCGTAGCAGCTGTCATAGAGCCTCTATGAGTTACCACGGCAGTGATTGCGGGCGACACCACTAGATGGCCGAACACACAAACCGGTCGCCGGATTTGTGTATAGCTTCTATTTCAGTCCTTCCAGGAAGTTGCAAAATTCGGATTGCAACAATTAACACAAATTCAACCAATCTCTGTGAATTATCTGCAACCTTTTTGTCATTGCATCTTTTCTGCAAATTTGGCCAATCCTAGTCCAGTCATAGCAGTCCCACACGCAAAAGGTTTAACTATACGTTACCAAAACCATTTTATTCTTAATTAATTAATTCTTAAAGAAAAATGCAACTGTTTTAGCAATTTTCACTTTCTCACACAATTCCATTGAAAAACAAAAATGCCTAACACATTGCAACATGCAATCCAATTTTTTAGAAAAGCTGCCGTGAAATCAGACATTTTAGGATGCAATAATCCCCAAAAAAGACTGCAAAATCCTGGAGGGACTGCTATTTGATTACACACTGTGACTAGTTCTGCTCACACTAACTGCCTCAATTCTTCATCAGTTCAAAGCAAAGTGGTAGCAGAAAAGATGTTAAGGCACTAGTTATTATCATATCATGGAAAAAGGATTAAAGCTCTTCAGATCAGATTTCTCGTCTGAAAGTAGCTGTTAACATAAATGGAGTTCAGAGTCGTACCAGTGTGTGCCTCTGTCTCAGATCTGTCCTCTCTGATGTAGGGGATCTCATCCATCCTGAGAAACACTGAGTCGCTGGGACTCTTCTGGCCGTCAGACTTACTGCCTGCAGCACACACATACATAAAAAACATGCATCAGAACACATGTGATACCTCTCAATTTACTACATTCATAAATAAAGCATGTTCTCCACCCAAAGGTCACGATGAGAGACTGCCAATTTGTCATTACTTTAAAGCTGCAGTAGCAAATTTTATAAAAATGTCTGGAAAAGAAAAAACAAAAGCCAAAAAATATGTTTTATAAAAGTTACCTAATGCAGCTTTAAAGCCAATAAAATATAACCAACCAAAGGTGACAGTGTCTCTTCTGCTGCCCACAAATGTAAATGTTCCTATTTTAAGCACACACTGACTAGCGTTCATTGACAACAAGATTCAACATATAATTACTTAAATTGATTTTTTTTTTAGGTCCATACACAGATACATCTTACTATAAATGCTGGTTCCCAAAAATCACACATCCACCAACCTTTTGTTTTATTTGTACTCAGACTGATATCGCACATTGTCTGATGGAAGGTGCTTGGTTTTGTAATTAGGAAAGATATTTTTCTTGTGATTAACAATTGCAGTTGGTCTTTCTGAGATGCATCGTTTGATGCGGTGCATCAATATTTCAAACAGTGTTTGCCTCCAGTGTTGATTTTAAAAAAAGAAGATTTGAACACGAAGAAGAAGTGTTTAATATTACAGTAGCTGTAAAGGTCATAAAGCTCAGTATAAAGTTAAAGAAATATTATGGAATACATAAAGTAAATGTAAGGAACCTTGGGGAATACGGAGATCTAAAAAACACCTTGCCATCCCAGCTTCCACCCCAGTTTGGTGTCAAATGCTGTCAAATTGAACATGTTAATTTGGATGGATTTTTAGACTAAGTCATAGGATGAAATTCAATGAAAAAAGACTTTTTGGTATTTGGAATACTGTCTGATTTTGGGGCGAAAATTACTGATTTCTAATGCCACTTTCAGATATTCTATCCAATGCTTCACTAACGTGCCAAATATTGATGTACGTGATTGTTTGCGATTAAATCAGCAGATATTTCTGCCACCCTCTGAACACCTCATTAATATTTCTCTAGATCTGCCCATGAATTCAATTCAATTAAATTTT